GTTACCTTCTAAAAGCAACCTGTAAGTATGTTCTAGAACTGATTGATGGGTCCAATTTATTACTGCATACTAATATCTACACAGAAAAAAATTGAAGTTCCATGAGGCCATGCTAATTCTTAAAATATGTAAGATTCAGGATTAGATTGGAGGGGTCATCATAATTTAACTGTATCCTTCACAAATAAACTTTTGGGGAATTTATAATACCTTATTCATAATACAGTAGACCACAAAATTGAAAATAAGACCTAATCCTAAGGCAGTTGGGCCAGTCAATAAGTTCATATTTAGAAATACTTTGGATTTCAGATTCATGAGAAACACTACTCAGCTAGGCTCAGGTGGGGTAGTGCCAAGCACCTACACATGACCTCTCCAGAGTTGCAGTCTTAGAATACTTAGACTTCACAGAGGCTCAGGACTCCAAGACCAACTGTTTCAACAGGCCCAGGTATATACGGTAAAGCTCATGACTTTGCCTAAGAAGTGCTAAAATATCACTTCCACTGCATGCTATTGGTCAAAAAAGACACCAGCCTAACCAAGATTGGAATGGAGAGGAATAAGACTCAACTTCTCAATGGCATGAGTAGTAAATAATTTTGTACCAGTATAGACTTACCATAACAAATTACCATAATAAAACTTATAGCAATTGTTTGAGATCAGGCAATGGGTCAGAAGCTAGAACAACTCAAGACTTAGAGAAAGGGACATGAGAGGACAGTTGGTGATAGCTTAAAGGACAGGAGGAAAATGTTATTGGAGGCTGGAGATATAATGTAATGGCAGAGATTTTAACAAAACTAATGCTTGAGATAATGAAGAAAATAATAAATAAGTAGTTTCTAGCTAAGAAAGTTTCCAGGCTGAATATCAAAAGTATCAACTAGTTGTTTTTAGCCATGTGTGCGAAGGTATGGAAAGAAAGATAGGAGTTCAAACAGTTGTTTTCAAGGAGAATTTATAAGAAATGAAAGAAATCAAAATTTTCTGGGGTTGAAAGTAAAACTTTTCATTCCATCTCTACATATAGCAAAAAGCTCTCAAAGCAAGAAGTGGCCTGAGATCAAAAACCAAATCCAGGGTATGACTGTAAGACCCTTTGTTAAGACCTCAGAAAGATTTAAGATGGCACGTCATAGAATCTTTCAGTTAAAGAAAAGGCTTCTAAGAATTTTAAGGCCATATGTCATAGACCCTCTTGGCTAAAATAATAATAATGCTCCTAAGAATCTAAGAGTATCGAAACACAGCGGCACCAAAGGTGACCCAAAGTAGACAAAGGTTTTCCTAAGAAATACATTTGAGTGTGGCTTTTGTCCAGGTATTTGATTCTAAGTCAATACAATAAGATACTTACAAAGTAGTTTTTAAAGGGAATTATACAAACCTGAAAAGAAAGAGACAACAACAGTGCAAAATGAAAAGTGGCTATAGATCCCTCATCTTCTATAGGCTGTAGACCCCTCATCTTCTATAGGAGAAAGCTCCAACTGCAAACACAGCCTACTTTGGGATGTTTTTCTTGCTTCTTGAGGTAAGCCTGCATTGCCATATACTTCCCTCTTAGGTCCACTTTTGCTGTATTCCAAAGGTTTTGACCATTGTGCTTTCATTTTCATTTGTTCCCATGTCTTTTTTGATTTCTTCTTTGATTTCCTTGTTGACCCATTCAATGTTTAGTAGCATGTTGTTTAACCTCCATGTATTTTTGGTCTTTCCAGATTTTTTCTTATGGTTGACTTCTAGTTTCATAGTGTTGTGGTCATAAAAGGTACATGGTATGAATTCAATCTTTTTGTATTTGTTGAGGTCTGTTTTATGACCTAATATGTGATCTATTCTGGAGAATCTTCCATGTACACTTGAAAAGAATATGTATTCTGCTGTTTTAGGATGGAATGTTCTGAATATATCTGTTAAGTGCATCTAGGATGGAATGTTCTGAATATATCTGTTAAGTCCATCTGGCCCAGTGTGTCATTCAAAGCTATTGTGGCCTTGTTATTTTCTACTTAGATGATTTGTCTATTGATGTCAATGGGGTGTTAAAGTCCCCTACTATTATTATATTATCAATTAGTTTCTTTATGTTTGTTATTGTTTTATATATTTGGGTGCTCCCATGTTGGGTACATAAATATTTACAATTGTTATATCTTGTTGTATCAACCCCTTTGTGGTTATATAATGCCCTTCTTTGTCTCTTTTTAAAGTATTTATTTTAAAGTCTAGTTTGGGGGCACCTGGGTTGCACAGTCAGTTAAGCATCCAACTCCTGGCTTTGGCTTAGGTCGTGATCTCAGGGTCGTGAGATTGAGTCCCATGTTGGGCTCTGCAATCAGCATGGAATCTGCTTGAGTTTCTCTCTCCCTTTCCCTCTGCTCTTCCTCCCCATGTTCTCGTTCTCTCTCTCTCAAATGAATAAATAAATCCTTAAAATAAATAAATAAAATATAGTTTATCCAATATAAGTATTGCCACTCTGGCTTCCTTTTGACATCCATTTGCATGATAAATGTTTCTCCACAAGATTCTGTTGAGAAATCTCCAGCCAGCCTTAAAGGTCTTCCCTTGTAAATTAAGAACTTCCTTTGTCTTGCTGCTCTTCAGATTGTTTCTTCATCACTATATTTTGCAAATTTAATTACAATATGTCTTGGAGTGGACCCGCTTTTGTTGATTTTGATGGGAGTTCTCCATGCCTCCTGGATCTGGATATCTTGTTTCCTTCCTCAGATTAGGGAAGTCTTCTGCTATTATTTCCTGAAATAAATTTTCTGCTCCCTTTTCTCTCTCCTTCTTCTGGGACTTCTATAATATGAATGTTATTACATCTGTTGGACTCATGAGTTCCCTAAGTCTACTCTCATGTCCCATAATTATTGTTTCTCTCTTTTTGTTCAGCTTCATTATTTTCCATTATTTTGTCTTCTAGGTCACTAATTCATTCCTCTGCTTCTTCTGGCCTGCTGTTAATTGCATCAAACCCATTTCCAATCTCGTTTATTGTATTCTTCATCTCTGATTGATTCTTTCTTAACTCTTTTATCTCTGTGGTAAGGGTCTCACTAATATCTTCTATTCTTTTCTCAAGCTCAGTGAGTATCATTATGATTGTTACTTTAAATTCTCCATCAGGCATGTTACTTGTATCTGTTTTGCTTAGATCTCTAGCCGTGTCCTTATCTCTTCTTTCATTTGGAATAAATTCCTCTGTCTTGGCATTTTGTCTAAGTCTCTGCCTTCTTCTCCATTAGAAAAGCCAGTTATGTCTCCTGCTCCTGAAAGTAATAGCCTTATGAAGAAGAGGTCATGTAGTGCCCAGGGTGTAGTGCTTCACGGAATGTCTCCAGGCATGCTGCATGCACTCTGCTATTGTGTTTTGGCTGCTCTATCTTCAGGCCAGTTGTCTCTAGAGGCTCTCCCTGCCTTCTGTAGGCAGTGTTTGGTCCCTGGACTGAATGTGGTGAGTTTTAACTAGGTGTACTCTAATCTGCTTGTGAAATGAGACCTGATACCAACTCTGCCAGAAATGAAGCCCTGTAGAACTCTCTGGTCAGGAAATATTGTGTGGGCAGGGGCTTCTGGGGGGAGGGACCTGACCTTCTGGGGGAGGGGCCTGTTGTGCTGGGACTGAAGCAAGCTTGATGGAGAAAGGCAGTCCTGCCAAAGCACACGGGGTGGAGCTTGGTGTAAACAAGTTAGGCAGCCAGAAACACAGCCTATTTCGTATAGAAAAGAAAGGATGTTTCAAAAGACAGAACCAAGAGCCCAAAGGCAGAACAAAGGACCTTGGAAAATCATTCCAAGGGAGCCCAACTGGGCCCTAATCAAGGAAATTACAATATGTGCCTGGTTGGATTTCATAGTTGTTATAGGCCTATGACTGTTATGGGCCTCTAGTTTTCTCTTTTCTGAATAGGAGCATCTAGTATGATTATCCTATCTTTCTCCCATTGCTGTGTTTTGGGATGTGTGAGGCAGATAATGTGTGTCTTTAGTTCATAGCTCTTCTGACAGAGAGAAGTCATACTCAAGAAGCTAATCTAAAGTACCACACCCAACAATTCTCACCTATAGTGATACAGGTCTTAGATAACAAAATACTGGACTTCAAGATTACACCATAATTACATGAGACTTTGGAGGCCTGGGGAAGGCATGTAGGACAACTGTAAATGTTTTGTGGGCCAAGGGTAGTCTATAGTAAATTAAAGATGGCCAAAAATTCTTTGCTATCCGTGTCATTGAGAGATGAAGTGTCATGCTCTTCTGTCCAACATGTGCTGCCCTGAGTAACCTGATTAACAAAGAGAATGTGGGATTTCTGACATTAGGAAATAAGACTTGTACCATCCTGCCAGGTCCTATAGAGTCCTGAGCTACCAAATTAAAAGACCAACTACCCTGGAACAGCAATGCTGAAGCTATGCATGCACTCTGAATGACAGTCTTATCTGAGCTCTGCCTTTCAGCCATCCCACAAAACAGTAAGATACAAAAGAAAACTCTGTGTTTTTAAGCCACCAAGTTTGTTATGCAGCAACGCATAGCTATACGTTAACATTTATATAAGTTATTTTTGTGCTGGATTCTTAGTTCTGCATAGTAAAATATCCAGTGAGAATACTAGAATATGTTTTAGGCTATCCCCAAAATAAAATTTTAACAAAAGTGCATTTCATAAGTTAAAATACTGGCAGTGACCACATAGTTGATATATATGTTCACCCATAAAGAGAAATTAGGAAATTTACTGAATAAAGGAAAACAATAGAAAATTACCATTAAGATATGTGACCTGTTAAATTGAAATCTTACTAAAATTATACATTATTTTTAATCTATCTGTGTTTAGTGTATAGTCAATACTTTTAAAAATGTGACTTAAAATGACAACACAAACCACAGAACAAAAAGAATTATGCTTTTTGGTACATCCATCTTGTCAAGAATATTAAGTTATATAACTACATGGATTAATTACTAACCTGGCATTTCCTCTGTCCTGAAGTCCTGTGTGAATCGAGCAGCACTTTGACCAAATGGAGTACTTTTCAGTATTGGTGTTTTCTTCAAGGAATTGAAAGCAGTTCGAGATTCATTATATGTGCCAGGAGCTGGAGTGATTGATTTCATAGGTACAAATCTCTGGTAAAAAACAGGAAAATATGCCAATGAGAAATGTACTACATAGTACATTTTGATATTTCATGAGTTAAAAGCTGCCTTCTTACTTAATATAACATCTGGAGTTTAATTTATTTCTTAATGGAGTGAAAAAATACAGACGAATTAAGATCTTGTACCTATCAAAACATAAAATATATAGCTTTTAGTAAAATCATATATATATTAATACAGTAATGCATTATGTACTTTACTAAGCCAAATAGACATTTTGAAGGAAATTATCTCAAGATGAGATTCTAGATGATAATGTATGGACAATCTTCACATTTAAATTATTCTGCAAGTTAAGATAATAAATAAAAAACTATATGATGTAACATGGTTTCTTTTATGTAATAAAATTAATACAAATTGACAAAGTTCCTTGATATATATATTCAATTAACTCAACAATATCATTAAATATCTTAAGAAAAAAATCTTAGATTCAAGAGATACATAAATCTGGTTTAGCTTATAATATTAAACTTATAAATTTATAATGTTTATTATAAACTTATAATATTTAACTTAGATATATATACACATATATATATAACTGAAATCATGAAGTATAGCATTGTATATTTTTTAACTTTTTATTTGGAATTAATTTCAAATTTACAAAAAAAATTTGCATGAATAAAAATAATTAAGAAAATACATGTATTATATAATGTTTACCCAGATTCACACATTGTTAACGTTATGCCAGTTGCTTTTTCATTTGGCCACACTCTGCTCTCTTCTCTTTCTTTCAGTAAGTCTATTCCATCCTCTCTGTGTCTCCCTGTGTGTGTGTCTCTACACACACACACACACACACACACACACACACACAAGCATGCAGCATATATATAGAACCATTTAATGGAAAGTTGTATATGTCATGACTCTTTACCCCTTAATATTTTGGTGTGTATTTACTAAAAATATGGATTTTTTTTTACATATCTGAAGCACAGTTATCAACTTCAATAAATGTATCAATGATATAATATTTTTATCTAATCAACTATTCATCTTCCAAATCTGTCAGTTGATCTAATAATGCCTCTATTGCATTTTTCCCCTTCAAGCATATAATTAATCTAGGTTCAGATATTGCTTTTAGCCTCCTTTAATATAGGAACATTTCTACAACCTTCCTTTGTGTTCTATGACTTTGGAAGAATATAGCACCCCATTTTTGTACAATAAAACCATTATTAGTTGGGACTTCTCTGATGCTTCCTCATTATATTCAGGTTATGCATTTCTGGACAGCATACTAAATAGGTGATGTGGCTTTCTCAGAGTATCATATGTAGAGGTACATGATGTCCTTGAACCACAGTGGTCATTTTAATTTTATAAAACTGAATATTCCCTCTACATTTACCAGTAGGCACTCAACATTCTACTGTAAGCAAGAGCCCTCTTTTCTCCCCCAATTATTCATTTCATTATTTATATACCTATTTATGTATTTCCAATCCATATGGAAATATGAATACCATTTTTAACTATTTATAATTAATTACTGTGGTTTGTTATTGTTGTTGTTGTTGTTGTTGTTGTACCAGTAGGGAGCCCTCTAAGTTTGTTCATATGTCCCTATGATATGCCATCATCTTTTTTTTTGTTGTTGAGACTTTTCTTATTTTGTGACATAACAATATGTTATAGGTTCATCTTCCACCTACTTTGCCCAGTCCCTGCTTCTTGGCTTATTTAGCAAGCTGGGATATATATCTATACTATCTACAACTATACCTACACCTATATCTATACACACAAATACTCATAAAGACACATACGCATATATAATTTAGGAATCATGAATTCACATCAAACTTTCAATTCAAATCTATCATACAAGGTCCTTTTTTAGCTCCCTTAATCCATATTTGTATGTACCCTCTTCCAAGTGAAAACCCTAGTTTACAACATTGACTTTTTTGCTCAGTGTAATACATCTAAAATAGTTTCATTATTGCTTCACCCATACCATTATAATAAACCAACCTCCTAAAAAGAATTCAGAATTTATTTGTAATTCTTGCACTCACTATCCCCTCCAACTCCTTCCTATCCAAGACTGATGTAATCAAATACTGTGGGGTAGTCTGGATTATTCTTTCCCCCCCTTCAACATGGCTAAACGTATTCACTTAGAATACAGTGGTACATTTGTTTCTATTCACTTTCAGTTTTAGGGTTTTTGTTTAAGCCTTTCCATTCTTTTCTATTTATTTTTATTTTTGAATATATGGAACATTGACATGCTTCTAAAAGACAAATATATATCTTAAAAAGTATACTCAAGGGACGCCTGGGTGGCTCAGTCGTTAAGCGTCTGCTTTTGGCTCAGGTCATGATCCCAGGGTCCTGGGATCGAGCCCCACATTGGGCTCCCTGCTCAGCGGGAAGCCTGCTTCTCCCTCTCCCACTCCCCCTGCTTGTGTTCCCTCTCTCGCTGTGTCTCTCTCTGCCGAATAAATAAATAAAATCTTTTTTTAAAAAGTATACTCAAAGGCTTTTGAGGAAAAGAGGGTGGAGGAGTAGGGGACCCTATTCCAACTGGTCCCTGGAATTGAGCTGGATATCTACCAGACCACTCTGAACACCCATGAAATCAGCCTGAGATGTAGGAAGATCTGGATCTCTACAAACAGAATATCGCAGGTGGTTGCTTTCGAAGTACAAAGCAGGGGGCCATGATTCTGCGGGCAGATAGCAGAGGACAAACGGCAGCAGGGGGGAGCCTGGCCACGGGGATCCTATACCACTGGTGAGCGATAGCCTCCCCCGCTGGGAATGGGGCACAAACTCGCAGATCGGTAGCAGCGGGGAAAGGACGTTAGGGCAGACCCCCCATGGAAACCAGAGCAGCGGGGCTACACGTGCAAACTGGGGGTGGCTGGCGGTTTTAGAAGCACAAAGGGCAGAGACAAGCCCCGACCTGGAGGCGAGGACTGGCACCACTGCTGAGGGGTGCACAACCCAGGACACTGCAGTTTATAGCAGCACAGACAGAAATGGAGAGAGTGTGGCCTAGAGAGCTCACTGAAGAACAGACTGCGATCTCTCTGCTCTGAGGCAGAGGGTTGGAAATGGTCTCTTCTGCTCTGACTCTCTAAAGAGACGCAGAAAGATGCCAGGGAAAGCCACCAGAGAACAAAAGCCCCAAAAAACTGGTTTCCACTGAGCCCATCCCCACCACAGGCGGCAGGGCAAATCTGCCCAAACAGGGATGCCTGAATGACAGCGTGGCAGGCCCCTCCCCCAGAAGACAGGCTGGGAAACAAGAGGCCAGCAACCCTAAGGTCCCTAGAAAACAGGTGCATCTTGCTTGGGGTGTGGTCAATAATTTGGACTCTGTACATTCCCTCAACTACCCATCAATAGAATGACTAGGAAGAAGAACCCCCAAAATAGGAAAGACTCAGAGGTTATGACTTATGCCACAGATTTACAAATAGATTCAGATATAACCAAGATGTCAGAGATGGAATTCAGGCTAGCAATTGTGAAGACAATAGCTAGAATGGAGAAATCAATTAATGGCAACATAGAGTCTTTAAGGGCAGAAATGAAAGCTGAATTGGCAGAACTTAAAAATCCCATCAGTGAGATCCAATCTAGATAATCTAACAGCTAAGGTAAGTGAAGCAGAAGAACGAATTAGTGACCTGGAAGACCATTTAATAGATAAAAAGGGAAAAGAGGAGGCCATGGAAAAACAACTCCGAATCCATGAAAATAGAATCAGGGAAATAAGTGACACCATGAAGCGTTCCAATGTCAGAATTATTGGGATCCCAGAAAGGGTGGAGAGAGAGAGAGGACTAGAAGATATATTTGAGCAAATCGTAGCTGAGAACTTCCCTCATCTGGGCAATGAAACAAACATTCGTGTCCTAGAGGCAGAGAGGACCCCTCCCAAGATCAAGGAAAACAGGCCAACACCCCGGCATGTAATAGTAAAACTCGCAAATCTTAGAACCAAGGAAACCATCTTAAGGGCAGTTAGGGGGAAGAGATTCCTTATGTACAGAGGGAGAAACATCAGAATAACGTCAGCCCTATCCACAGAGACCTGGCAAGCCAGAAAGGACTGGCAAGACATGTTCAGGGTACTAAACGAGAAGAACATGCAGCCAAGAATACTTTATCTGGTAAGGCTGTCATTTAGAATGGATGGAGAGATGCAGAGCTTCCAAGACCGGCAGAAAGTGAAAGAATATGTGACCACTAAGCCAGCCCTGCAAGAAATATTAAGGGGGGTTCTATAAAAGGAGAAAGACCCCAAGAGTGATATACAACAGAAATTTACAGGGACAATCTATAAAAACAAGGTCTTCACAGGCAACATGATGACAATAAATTCATATCTTTCAATAATCGCTCTCAATGTGAATGGCCTAAATGCTCCCATAAAATGGCACAGGGATGCAGATTGGATAAAAAGACAGGACCCATCCATATGCTGTCTACAAGAGACTCATTTTGAACCTAAAGATACATCCAGACTGAAAGTGAAGGGATGGAGATCCATCTTCCATGCCAGTGGACCTCAAAAGAAAGCTGGGGTAGCAATTCTTACATCAGACAAATTAGATTTTAAACTAAAGACCCTAGTTAGAGACACAGAAGGACATTATATCATTCTTAAAGGGTCTATCCAACAAGATCTAACAATTGTAAATATCTACACCCCCAACATGGGAGCAGCCATCTACATAAGCCAATTGTTAACTGAAATAAAGAGTCATATTGATAACAATACATTAATTGTAGGAGACCTCAATACTTCACTCGCAGCAATAGACATATCATCTAAGCAGAAAATCAACAAAGAAACAAGAGCTTTGAAAGACACACTGGACCAGATGGACCTCATAGCTATTCCACAGAACATTCCACCCTAAAACAACAGAATACTCATTCTTCTCGAGTGCACATGGAACTTTCTCCAGAATAGACCACATACTGGG